TGAAACGCCTATTATTGTGACCGAGTCAATTATAGCTAGAAAATTGCAAGAAATTAGTACATCGCGTTCCAGTGGCCCTGACGGTATTTCCAATTGGGTTTTAAAAACCTATTCGGATATTCTCGCCTCACCAGTTGCAAATATAATCAATTCTTCCTTTCAAAGTTGTAAAGTCCCTCAAATTTGGAAGCTGGCTGATGTGGTCCCCTTACCAAAAACATCTACTGTCAAAGACTTGGAAAGGGAATTACGACCTATTTCCTTAACTTCCACCCTATCAAAGATAGCGGAACGTCTTGTAATCGAAAGAGAAGTAAAACCAACTCTGTTAAAGGTTGTTGATCCCCAACAATTTGGCTTTATTCCAAATTCTTCCACTGTACTTGCCTTGATATCGATGCTCCATTGTTGGTTGAGTGCAACAGATGGAAGTGGTTCATCTGTTCGTACTGTATTTCTTGATTATAAAAAGCATTTGACATGGTGGATCACACCACATTAGTTGCGAAATTATTCAGCCTTGGTATTAAGCCCTGTGTGGTTAACTGGATTATTGACTTTTTACGTAATAGATGGCAAAGGGTCAAACTAAGTGATAATTGTTTCTCAGACTGGCTCCAAGTTCCAGCTGGTGTCCCTCAAGGCACACGACTTGGGCCTTGGCTATTCTTAGCCATGATAAATGACCTTGTGTTACAAAATCACCCTTCAGAAATGTGGAAATTTGCCGATGATACTACGGTCTCTGAAATTGTTGAAAAAAATGAACAAAGTACTTTACAAATGGATATCGATGATATTACTACTTGGTCTATGAACAATTCCTTTCAACTAAACCCATTTAAATGCAAAGAAATGGTAATATCCTTTTCACGATTACCACCTGTTCTTGAACCTATACGTATTGGTGACCGAAATTTGGAAAGAGTGACAAGTATCAAATCGCTTGGAGTTATATTAAGAAATGACCTTAAATGGATAGACCATGTAAATTCAATTGTCTCCAAAGCAGCTAAACGTTTATATTTGTTGAGGCAACTCAAACGTGCTGATGTCGCTTCGGCAGATTTGGTCAAATTTTTTTGCAGCTGTATAAGGTCTGTCCTTGAATATGCGTGCCAATTATTCCATAGTTCCCTGCCACGAAATCTTGCAAAAAACATTGAACGTATACAGAAGCGAGCAATGAAAATAATATTCTATGAATTGTCTTACGACGAGGCTCTTAACATCGCTGGTATTTCTACTCTTGAAGACAGACGGGAGTATCTATCCAATAATCTCTTCAACGACATTGTTTTAAATGATGATCATAAACTTGCCAAACTTTTACCATCCAAAGCAGGCAATAGAGAATTACGAAAAGAAAGATCTTTTGAAGTTTCACCAGCAAGTACAAATCGTTTCGGAAACTCTTTTATCAACTTTTATGCTAAGAAACATTACGAATCAGATGTTCCTTGAACATTTTAGAATTTTTAACTCATATAGATTAGTACATTTAAGTATATGATATATAGTATATATTAACAATTTCTAAATTGCATTGTAATATAGAATTTTTTACTATTTATAACCTTGTAACACTTAACGTCATGTAATTCAGTCTTCTGACTGCCAGATGATGTTTTTATTAAACAAACTATTCATTCATTCATTCATTATATATATATATATATATATATATATATATATATATATATATATATATATATATATATATATATATATATATATATATATATATATATAGATAAATCCAACGATGGGTTGTTTCGTAAATTTAATCCAGTAGTTCGTGAATAATAGTATCTTAAGTGATTGCGATTGGAGAGTCAAAAATTTGAGATGCAATAACAAATCGGTACTTGATGAAAATAACTTATTTTGTCAACAAAACGAGCAAATTGAAGCATTTTGGCAATAGCTTGTAAAAACTAAGTAATAAAGGCTTCCAATACACTATTTTAAATTCACTTGCTGACTTCAAATGCGTTTATATTCCCAGCTGAAGCGTGTTTTAGCTTGCCGTCAACTTGCTAATTTATGTTTACATTGCGCCCGATTCGATGGCGTTAGTTCAGACGATGCATGGACATAAGATTGTTTTGATGATTTCTGGAAATAATTTAGGATTTTGAAATAAATAAAACAACCTAATCTCTTTTAGAATGTTTTTAACAAGTTTTTACTAGTTTTTCTGATGTGGCAACCAGAACATTAAAGTTTGAACAAGAAAATTCAAACATTGTAACCGACTATATGGAATATCATAGTAAATTTGTATAATTAAGCGGCATCTAAAAATTATAGGTTTTACTAAATTTTCTCCTGTGCAGTTATTACTTGCACTAAAGACACGGATGACCATTTGTTCGAAAGATAAATGAGCAGGCCTTAAAATAAGCCTAAAACCGTTTTATTAAATATAGCAGGCCGATAGTTATTAAGAGTGAATGTCAGTAAAAATCGAACATATGAGATATTTCGCGGCCACGACTGAAAAATCGATTTTGCTCAAATTTTGCCCAGATATACCTTATTATATCGGAAAATGCACCATATATTTTTTAGGCCAAATGCTTTTTTAACTTTGAGAAAATGCCGTTTTAACACGACCACCCTAAATCGCCATTTTGTCTGGGAAAATATGCGCTGATTTTACCGACAAATTTCACGACGACAACCGTTTCTAATCGATCTAAAACCCTAAAAAGCTTGTTTCGGTTATTCAAAGGACCGGGTACGTGACTTACAGGAAATCTGAGTTACTTTTAGGAATAGAAATAATCGTAGTTTTGGAGCACACTATCTTACCTCATTTACGATACCCTCTTAACAAAACCGATTTTCACCATGGGATAAAGCTCCAAATCGATCATGCTTCTACTAGTTGGCTCTTTAATAAACAAGCTTTCAATTGACGTAAATACTTCTTTGGGCAAATGAATACGCGATAAACGACAGCGCGCTGAAATCCGTCCGTTTTTGACGTCTTGCACACTGTAAAAACTGATAGGTTAAAATAACCTATTTGTAAAGGTTATCACTTATATAAATAGGTTGTTTTAACCAATTGAATAGGTTATAACCAAAATAAATAGGTTAAAATAACCAATTATTTTTTGGTTAATCTCTAACATTTGGGTACAACTAATATAAATAGGTTAATTTAACCAATTGACCAAAGTAAATAAGTTAAAATAACCAATTATATTTTGGTTAATCTTGAACAATACAACTAATATAAAAACAAGTGAACGAAACTCTAAAGATCGATAACATTTTTATATTTATCAATGGAGTTTCACTTGTTTTGTATTTTGTAAAATACTCAGTAGTTCAAAAAATTATTGTATGACAATTTTAATAGGTTGTTATCTTGGGTGTTTAGCCAATACTGATAACAATAGCCATGCAGGTTGTTTTAAATATTTTTATAATACTAATCATAATACATAAACTTTGTACGTGGCAAATCATGTCAACCATTAATGAGTTAAATTATAAACCAATAATAATTGCTCAAAAGACAAAACAGTTATAGGCAATTATAGATCTATAGGCAATATTAGTTCAGTACGTCATAATCTTTGTTAATAAGATTAGAAAATGCATCTTATTTTTACATATTTATACTGATTATATAGTATACTATATACAGCACTGTACAGACCAAACATTGAATTGTTTATCACAGTCATTTCAACATATAGTATGCATTCAAGCAGGAACCACACCACCATAAATCATCTTTTAATCTCCACGACTCCACGTATGGGGGGGTTAGGAGGGGGG